TAAAAAAATCCAGTGCTCAGTTCTTGGAAACCTAGTTCAATTCGACAATGGAATCACACCTAAAACTGGAATGTTCACGGTAGCAGCATAGGCAGGACAGAGCAACAAAAAATACACTAAAGCAAATCGATGCACATAAGACAGGCAGTGTCTCATCTACTACTGGAGGACACATAGCTCAGATAGGCAACATTCCCTTCGGAATCATATGTACTGAATCCAATCAAACTAATTTCAAATAGTATAGACATAACACATGCCATTTATATGTCAGAACTAATATCAACACATGTACATAATTTTACCCGAAAATGTGGACGCCAAGCAGTCTGAAACTGGTGGAGGCTAGTAAGTGTGATCTAGGTAGGAGCTGTCTACACTAAACTCTGCACATATATGACATCAAAATAACTAAACAGAAAAGGAGAAGATAGATGGACAGAAAAAAGTTCACCTGAATTTCCTGCACATTGTGAGGCAAGATCGCTCATGTCGGATGATACAGATGCATTTTTCCAAAGCGAAGGTGTACTGCTAGAACCATCAGAGCATCTGAAGAAAACAAAGCATGGATGGGTAACATGGCATAAGCTACTGCTGTTCATCGCAGGCTTGATAACAGCACAGCAAGTACATTACCTTGCCCTTAAATCCGTGTGGCATGTCTGACGACGCTGTCATTCTGCCAAAAAAAAACTACTACATGAACAACATCATCCAAAACCAGATCTACAAAGCCACACCACACTCAAAAAAACATCTGAGCCAACACCTAAAATCAATTGAGCAAGCAGAAATGCCCAACTTAGCTTCGAATCCATTTCTAACAAGCAATCCAAACCGAAACCACTAACAAAGTCAAAGAGAAGTAAATCGAATCAACAGGGTCAGGGGATTTTCAACCAACAAACCACGACGAAGCGCGCGAAGGACGCAGCTAGCTGCCGACCTCAAGCTATGGCGGAGACGAGCGAGCCGCGGGCAGCATCTTGAGGCGGGGCGTGGGCGCAGCATCTGAATCTGGGGTGCTTGTCGTGGAGCTACGGAATCCGAGGCCGGGCGGGGCCTACGCGCGGCGCGCGTTCGTCCGAGTGACCGAGGGGGCGGCGGCGGCTTCCGAGTGAGAAGATGGGGAGGGGAGAGAGGGAGATGCCAGCGCGGGCGGCAGTGGGCGCTCGCGGCGGTGCCGTGGCGTGGGAAGGAGGAGGTCCGCGGCGAGCTCGATCGGTGTTAGCGGGTGCAGTCGAGCTCGATCGGACCCAATAAGAACCAAACACAGCCACGGACCCAATACCAGCGCACGGATCTGGAGCTCCATCCAACGGAGGCGGCGTCGCCTGAAGACAAGCCCAGAATTCAGGCGACTGAGAAATAGGAAACCCAGGGAGTTGTAACAAAAAAAGGACCAAGAACTGAATAGAAGAAACCACTTTCGAAAATTTTGTTTGTTTTTCCTCTTGTTCTTATTGTTCTTCCTCAGTTCGGATTCCTGAGCAGCAACTTACAAGCGGTTTCTTTCTCTTGTCTTGCTGATTTCTTGAATGGTTTGGAAGGAGAGGAACCATCGGGTATTCAAAAACACTCAGCTCCGGCCGACGCAGTTCGCTGAATTCATCCTTCAGGTGGCCAACAATTGGGTAGCAGCGGGCATGTCGGCCCTGTTGCTCGGGGAGCAAGCTAATACAGCTCCTGCGGTCGCGGATTGGTTTTCAAAATGTAGCACTACTTTGAGTCTTTATCTGTGTTGTGTTTTCCTCTTGTTCGGCATCCCTTAATGCGGGCATCTCGCTTGTATGACAGTGATGCTTTGTAATCCCTGCTACCCACTTAATGAAATACATGCATAAGCGTGTTCGTGAAAAAAAACTTACAAGCGGTTTACCGTTACTTCCTCAGTAGGAGTAGGAACATGACAATTGGTATCAGAGTTGTTTCACGCGGAGATTTTTTTGCGGACGTGGAGATCTTCATCCTTGCGCCTTCCCGATGGCCGACAAAGCTGCAGCAACAAATGGCAGCTTCCATGGAGGAATTGTCGAAGCAATTTGAGATCTTCGAGCTCATGATGTAGCAATCGCTCGATAAGCTTAGCAGTTTCGAAGTCTGGTGCTCGAAGGCGGATGACTCCTTCGGCATTCTTTTGTCCAAGACGTATGAGTCCGCGATGTGGATCCAACGGTTGGAGACGGTACCCCACCTCCACCACTTCTCCCTCATCAGCAGTTGACTGCTCCACCGCCTCTATCGCCGCGCTCCTGGCTCGACCTCAACTTAGCTTTGAACCGGCCGCGCTCAATTGCGGTTCTGGGATCACTGGGATCCCACTATGGCCACTGGGATGAGGGCAGTGGGATTCTGGGATCACCTTCACCTGTCCCGGTCATGGGTATGTGATCTGACCCTCCTTTCAATTTAACATGGGAACATACATGGGGGTAATCGGGACTCTGTGATTCGTCCTGCAACTATGCCTAAAATGGAGTTTCCATGTTTTGATGGCGAGAACCCTAGGCGATCTGTGTGAGATGTTCTTCAATGTTTATTCAATCAGGGATAATCTCAAGACCAAATTTGTTGCCCTCAGCTTTATAGAGCAAGCGACGACATAGCTGCAGACCTGATGAACGCCGCGACAGAGTTCTCAATTGGGAACTTGGGATCAATTTTGGACTGCTGTGTCTGAGCGCTTTCATTGTGATCAGTACTCTACTCAGTTGCGTCAATTGGATGCCCTCAGACATACAGGATCGGTCATAGAGTATTTGGACAAACTTGAACAACTATCTCATGGGATTCTCTATTGTACAACACGACCTATGATGACACTTATTTGTCACTCGTTTCTTGGGAGGGCTCAAGGAGGAGATTAGGTCTGCCATCCTCTTGCATCGCTCAAAGGATGTTCAGATTGCGGGTTCTTTAGCTCTTATACAAGAATAAGAGTTGGATATTCATAAGAACAGATCGTCCAAACAGTTTCAAAAGAGCAGTTTCAAGGCACATCAAGGAAATGAAGTGGTTGAGCCTGACAAGGGAGCATTTATGAAATCAAAAGCTAACAATACAGACTGTAAAGATAAATTTCAAGCCCTCAAAGGTTACAGAAGGAAGAATGGACTATTTTCAAATGTGGAGAGAAGTGAGGACATACCACAAATGACTAGCTCAAGTCTCTCTCTCTCTCCATGTTCTTGAAGAATCTCGGATGCTTTTGAAGATGTGGAGGATTTTGTAGCTTGTGATGACCCAGTGGAGACAGTTAGATGTAGGTGTTGTGCCACTGGCTGTGCACCTTAGGAAGAGGACAATGAGGCTTAAGGGCAAGATTCACAGTATTGGTTGATTCAGGGAGTGTGGGCACATTTATCAGTGAGCAGTGGCTGCACAAATGCCATACAAGCCAGTGGAAGGGGTGCATGCTCATTGCTCAATACATGATTGATGATGTAGCCCAACGACATGTAACAAGACTATTGAGGGGTTATAGTGGTGGACTTAGGGTCACACTTTCTTATTAGATGTGGGTATACTTCCATTGCAGTGTTATGATATGATTGTGGGTGAAGACTGGCTGGAATCTTGAAGTCCTACGTGGGTTCACTAGCAAAAGAAGATCATGAGGTTTACATATACTGGGAAGAGGATCACTCTAAAAGGAATCACTCCAACAGTGACCAAATGCACTGCCATATCCAACAAAGATAGTATTCGCAAGTCAAGTGTGGCAAGAGCTCTTCAGGTTGTCTGACACTAAACTTATTATGAGCTCTTCTTATCATCCTCAAACGGATGGACAAGTTGCATGACTCAATCAATGCCTCAAAGTATTTCTCAGATGTACAATTCACTCTTGCCCCCAAACAATGGAGTAAATGGCTTTCTTTAGCAAAGTATCGGTACAATACTACTTACCATTATGATCTTGAGTGAGCACCGTTCGAAGCATTCATAGTTCTTGCTTGCGTTGGGAATGTAGCATACGAGCTGGATTTGCCTCCTATTCATGTGTCTCAACTGACGCTCCATGTACCTTCTCGTACGTCGGTGATTTCAGAGTTAATGCTACAAACTGAAGCATCCATTATTCAACAGCTCCATGCAGTGGCAGTCCTGAACCACATATTGCTACTTCAAGGTACTTTAGCCCAGCCTCAAGTGTTGATGCAGTGGAATGCGTTGCCTAGGTATATGTCGGACATGGGAGTCAGCTTGCTGGGTGTATGAGTAGTTTCCAAAGGCGCCAGCTTGGGAACAAAGCAAGAACTCAAGGAGGAGGGCATGTTACAAGGCTCAGCCGTGGCTAGGTGGTCTGGGCCGTATATATGTGTGTGTTGGGCCGAGTGGGCTTGCCTAAATTGTGAGTCGGTAGGTGTGCCCGGTGAAGTATAAACCGGGAGAGTTGTAACTGAAAAGGACCATGAACTACATAGAAGAAACTACTTTCCCAAATTTCGCCCGTTCTTCCTCTTGTTCTTGATGTTCTTCCACAATTCCGATTCCCGAGCAACAATTTACCACCGATTTACTGTTACTTCCTTGGTACGAACGCAACATGAAGTTGTTATTGTGATGATGAGTGATTATCAAGCAAGATGAAATCCTTTCAATTGAGTTGTTTTTGGTTATGATGAACCGGAGGCCAAGTGGTGGCGCTGCACCGTGTCTCTTAGGTGTAGAGAAAACCTCATGTCAAGGCGAGGGAGAAGGTCAAACTGTGGTTCATGCAAATGTAACACTGGCGGTGAAGGGCGGACGAAAAGCATCAACATTTCCATTCGTAACAAAAATACCATATGGACGAAGCAAATTCCCAGTCTTTTCCCATTAAATAACGTCAAAGCAAGTTTTAGACAATATAGGAAGGGTCGACGCAAGCATCGCATCATTGTTTCGTCGCATTCATTTGCTCGGTGATGATTAAACCACGACTCATTTCACAACAAAATACAAGATGTAGAGTAGCTAACAACAGAACATCGAAGATTGCAGAAATCACAGACTCAAACGGACGGCACAATCGTCTCTTCTCCTTCCCCACTGACACTGACAGCCTGCGCGGGGAGCTGCAGATCAGTGCGAGCAGCGGGCGGCGGCGGGTCCTGCTCCGACACCGCCGGCGCCACCTCCTCCCCTGCTGCAGGCTCGGTGTGGTCGGAGGGGAGGCGGCAGCGGCAGATGGGGCAGGAGTTGTGCACCTCCAGCCACGGCACGATGCAGGAGGAGTGGTACAGGTGGCCGCACGGGAGCCTCCGCGCGGCGGCCGCGAGCGGGAGGTCGTCCTTGCAGATGGCGCAGACCGCGCCGGGCTCTGACACCTCCACCGTGGGCAGAGCCTCGATGGACGCCGCTGAGGCCGGCGCCTCGCCGCCGCCACCGCTGCCGAGGACGACCCAGGGCACGAACAACGCGGGGGCCGGTGGCATGGATATGATGATGGGACCACGACCACACGACGACGCTGCCCTTCCTCCCCTCCGGAGGTTTGGTGGTGGATTGCGATGACGAGGTCGTCGTCGACGACGACGTCGTCAACATCGTCGTCCGAGGACGAGGACCGGTCAGTCGGCAGCAATAACTCCTGCGCCGGCGGAGGCGACGACGAGTCGGACATGGCCGGTCCTCTCGGTTTCGCTCTCACTTTCTTGGGGCCTCCGGCCGCCTTGTGTGGCATCATTTATCTTTGTTGTGCACTTGTGCAAGGGAGCGCCTGCATGGTCTTTGCTCTCGTCGTCTCTCTCGTGTCGTCTGGCCTCTACGTGTGCAACCGGCGCCAAAAGTAATTTCCAAATTTCCTTTTCAGCTTAATTAATCACTTAATTTATTAGTAGCCTGATTGTTCATCGACGCAATCCTCTATCAATCGCCTGTTTTTTCAGAGAAGGGAAACCCTTTTCCTATATAAAACATATATATAGTTTCAGCCTCGGCAATGAGTCGATATACACGTAGTCATAAAAATAAAATAAAAAAAAACAAAAGGTGCATGGTAATTTACACAAGCTGGTAATCACCCTATAGCTGGATGTAAAGCTCGTAGCTCGGTAACTCGATCACTCAACTCGGCTTGGCTCGTTAGTAGCTCAGCTCGTTTATATTTTTCAACAAGCTGAGCCACCATTTCAGCTTGCATAGTTAACGAGCAAGCTCGCGATCAAGCTAGCTCACCCAGCCTAACGAGCCAAAACTATTAGCCTTAAACTTAATCTTCTAGGTGAAGAAGAGATGGAGATAGGCAAAAACTCTAAAGCTACTCTTGGTGGAAATTCCTCTGCTCCCACAGGTGAGCATAAGTCTTCTCAAGGTGGGTTTAATCAGCAGCCTAACAGTAACAAGCAAGTTACAGAGCAAAGTGACATACACATGTCCACTGCCTTGGATAGGCATTTGGAGCCTACTGTTGGTTTAGATACTGAGGATCTTGCATCCAGCCCATCTATTCTAAATGGGTTGAATGTACAAGTACCCAAGCAGTCTAAGCACATGGGCAATCAGGTTAACGTTACTGCAACCCAATGTGCTGATTTACCATCAGAGGCGTGGTACAGGAAGCAAGCAGAGTGTATTTTGGATAATGTAGTTGATGTTGTGCTAGATGAAATAGCTTCACAGGTGATGCAAGAGGATGATGCGGAGGTGAATACAAGACTTCCAGCAACCCCTTCCAAGAGAGTGTCGCCACAAACTCCAATTAAACGGAGCAAAAGGAGGGAAGCCACGGCTGATGAAGACTCATTGGAGAGAGTCGAACGCCTTGTGGCTACAAAGAACTTGGAGACTCCAGCAAAGAATGGTAATAATTTTAACAATTCAATTTTATCCATTTCTGATAATGCCATTTCTTCAAATCTTAATAATGTTGGGATCTCTCTTGGTTCAAATGAGAATGACATCTTTAGGTCTATTTCTGAAATTAAAAGTGGAGAGTTTGATAAAATTCATGCTAACCAGATAGATAGAAATGCACAGGATAATTGCTTAGATAGTTCTGATGAGGTAGAAGACAATGAGATAGAATACATTACGCTTGGCCACTTGTGTAGTGGTATAATCGACGAACTTGCAGATGAGGATGCCAATCATATTGGAGGTGAATGGCATACAGTGTCCAAAAAGAAAAATTCCTCACGGAAAAAGAAAGTACAGGTTCGGTCATGTCACTAATTTTAAAACACGAAGTTCAATATGAAAGGTTTGTTCTGGAATAACAGAGGTCTTAGGGACTTGGCTAAATATAAATTTCTGTTTGATACTTCATGTGACCACCAGCTTGATTTCATAGCAATTTTAGAAACCCGTAGAGATGATTTTACTACTTTTGACTTGAACCACTTTTGTGGTGGTAGAGACTTTTTTTGGCATTGGACTTCACCTAGAGGACAATATGGTGGAATTTTGCTTGGGATTAATCTTCAAGTTCTTGATATTGGTAATATAACCCTAGCAGATTTTCACATTAAATTCAATGTTCCAACCAAAGAAGATGGCTTTGAATGGGTTCTCATTGCTGCTTATGGAGCAGCACAAGATGAGTTAAAAGAAGCTTTCCTGACTGAGATGGTTCAAATTAGTAGTAGTGAAGATAAACCAACCCTCTTAGGTGAAGATTTCAATATTATTAGGAGACCCTCTGAAAAAATAATGATAGATGGCCTTTTCTTTTCAATGCTTGCATCGACAGTCTTAACTTGAGAGAATTAGATCTCTCTGGCCGACGTTTTACCTGGGCTAAGTCTCTTGATACGCCGACATTTGAAAGGCTAGATAGAGTTTTAGTAAGCACAGATTGGGAACAAAAATTTCCTTTAGCGGTGGTGCAAGCTTTAACTAGAGATATTTCAGATCACACGCTGTTGCTTTTGGATTGTGGAACTTCTACTACTCAAGGCAACCAACATCCTTTTCAATTTGAATTATGTTGTCTACTTACGAATGGTTTCTTTGAACAAGTAAGAGATGTGTGGAATAATGAAAATAGGGGTACAAATTCTTTACAGAGATGGCAATTCAAGATTAGGCGGACACACCAATATCTAAGAGGGCGGGGAAGACACGTTAGAGGGAAAAATAAGCAAGAAAAAGAGGATATTAAATCCATGATTGACTCTTTAGATAAGAAGGTAGAGTACTCTGATCTATCTCCAAACGAGTTAGATATGCTTCATCGTCTAAGAGATAGAATCTCTCATTTGTTGAGAGAAGAAGAGATAGCCTGGTTTCAAAGGTCGAAAACTAAAGACCTATTAGAAGGTGATAATAACACAAAATATTTCCATCTTGTTGCTAATGGTAAGTATAGAAAGAGTAGAATTTTTCAGTTGGAGGGAAACAATAATATCATAAAAGATGAGACAGAGTTAAAAGAGCACATAACCTCCTACTACCAAAATCTATTTGGCCCTCCCGAGGAAAACAAATTTACTATGTTGGAAAGTAGAATTGAGGACATTCCTCAGGTATCGGATTTTGAGAATGATATCCTTACTGCTAAGTTTGCTGAAGCAGAGGTAAAAGCGGCTACCTTTCAGATGGAACACAATAAGACACCGGGGCCGGATGGTTTTCCTACTGAATTCTATCAAGTTTTTTGGGAAGTCATAAAGGCTGATTTGATGGCCATATTCCATGACTTTCATAACGAAGATCTACGACTTTTTTCTCTCAACTTCAGAATCATAACACTGCTACCAAAATGCCAAGAGGCAATTAGGATTCAACGGTATAGACATATTTGCCTTTTTAAATGTGAGCTTCAAGATTTTCGCAAAGGTAGCAACAAATAGAATAAATTTTGTGGCTCAGAAGGTCATACAACCCTCGCAAATAGCTTTCCTTCCTGGTCGATATATTTTTAGAGGGAGTGATGATTTTACATGAAACAATCCATGAATTGCATAGAAAAAACTAAATGGGGTAATTTTTAAAGTTGATTTCGAGAAAGCATATGACAAAGTGAAATGGACTTTCCTCCAGTAAACACTAAGGATGAAAGGATTCGCGCCTTTGTGGTGCCGATGGGTCCAACAATTCATCTCTGGTAGCAGTGTTGTTGTGAAAGTAAACAATAATGTCGGGCGTTATTTTCAAACTAGAAAAGGCCTACGGCAAGGTGATCCACTTTCACCTATTCTCTTTAATCTAGTTGCGGATATGTTAGCCATATTCATTACTAGGGCCAAAGAGGATGGTCAAATTCAAGGCCTCATTCCCCATTTGGTGGATGGCGGCCTCTCAATTTTGCAATACGCCGATGACACTATACTTTTCATGGAGCATGATTTAGAACAAGCAAAGAACATGAAAATTATTTTATGTGCCTTTGAGCAACTGTCTGGTTTGAAAATTAACTTCCATAAGAGTGAACTTTTTTGCTATGGGGAGGCAAAGGAGCACATGGAACAATATTCACAAATCTTTGGATGTGAAATAGGTAATCTTCCTTTCAGATACTTGGGTATACCAATGAATCACAAAAGGCTCAATAATAAAGACTGAAAAATGGTTGAAGATCGCTTTCAAAAAAAGTTGAGTAGTTGGAAGGGTAAACTTTTATCTTATGGTGGTCGGTTAGTTTTGATAAACTCGGTGTTGAGTAGCTTGGCCATATTTATGATGTCTTTTTTTGAAGTACCCAAAGGCATTCTTAAGAAATTAGATTTCTATAGGTCAGCTTTTTTCTGGCAAGGTGACAACCATAATAAAAAGTACAAATTATTGAAATGGGAAATTCTTTATTTACCAAAGGATCAAGGAGGTCTTGGTATCATGAATCTTGAAATTCAGAATGTTTGCTTGCTTAGCAAATGGTTGTACAAACTAGTTAATGAAGATGGTGTCTGGCAGGATCTTCTTAGGAAGAAATATTTAAAAAATAAAACCATTAGTGAAGCTCATTGAAAACGGGGAGATTCACACTTCTGGTCAGGCCTTATGAAGGCAAAAGACTATTTCCTTGATCTCTCCGTTTTTAACATTCACAATGGTAGTCAAACTAGATTTTGGGAGGACAAGTGGCTTGGAAACTTCACTCTCAAAGAGCAATACCTGTCTTTATACAATATTACAAGGAAAGAACATATATCACTAGCCAATGCTTTTGCTTCCACACCCCTTAACATTTCTTTCAGAAGATCTCTAGTGGGGGAAAAGTTACTTAAATGGAATGAATTAGTGGCTAAAATTGCATTTGTGCAGTTGGATGATCAACAAGATTCCATTAAGTGGAGTCTTACAAGACAAGGATCTTTCACAGTGCAATCAATGTATAAACACTTAATTAATCAAATCGGCATGCCTTTAAACAAGCTGTTATGGAAGTCAAAATTACCACTTAAAATCAAGATATTTATTTGGTTCTTGATAAAAGGGGTAATTTTAACCAAAGACAGTTTAAAAAAAAGAAAATGGAAAGGAGACGATAGATGTT